CTCCTTCTAGATCTCCTCCTCTTTTTCCTCCTCCTCTACATCATCATCATCATCATCATCATCATCATCATCATAATCATCATCATCATCATCATCATCATCATCATCATCATCATCATCATCATCATCACCACCATCATCATCATCATCATCATCATCATCATCATCATCATCATCATCATCATCATCATCATCATTATCATCATCATCATCATCATCGTCGTCGTCGTCGTCGTCCCTGAGGGTATATTGTAATAATAACAAGGTAAGCAAAGAAAGAAATCATGACTCAGCTTATTAAAGTGTGCAATAAGAAAACCAAAACCAAAAACATTTAATGCCCAATGGACAAGTCAGTTTTGGAGTGAACTACAAAAATTGTTTGCATAGTCTTAGATATGTCACAACAATAACTAGGTGCATAAAACTTTTGATCTAAAAAAAATAAAATAAGAAGAAGAATGGTACATTTTTCATGGAACGAAAAAGTCAGTTTCGACCCCAGAAAGATCGCTGTTATGGAAAATGAAACCATGACGAAGTATGTTAAAACGAGACTTGACCTTGTCGAAGGAATTGTAGCGCCTGGTTTGGCAATTCTTCCCTTGCAAAGCTAAGGAAATGATCATATGTCAATGTCTTGAGCAGTGATAAGTGATTGCAATGATGAAATGACGAAGTCACGGTAGCGAAATTCTGCACCTTACATCGTGATTTTCGGGTCTATACTATAAGAATATCAAGATTTTAATTGCAGTTTATACAAAAATGTACGAGGTAAGCTAAAACTGTCACAATTTATTTCTTCTTATACCATTCAATGACACAATGTGACCTGAAAGTGTGAAACGATATTATATTCAGAGACGGATAAAGTAATTATGATAAATGTAAGCAAAACGACGAATGACTCGCCTTTTCGCCTATGAAATGAGATCACCAGTAGAAAGTAATATGAATGAACAGATTAACTGTTTCCTATTTATTGTTATTTTTTTGTTGTTGAAAAGAAAGCTTCATCGGCAGGGGACAAGGAAAAATTGTCCTCCATGTCGACATTTGGGGAAACTTTCCCAAGCGGTCAGAGGGAATTATGAAGTTGCAAAAGGAAGCTTATTAACGAGTACAGAAAGTAAGCGAATTAGTTCAGATGAGAGATATTATTATAATATGCGTACATAGAGCAATTCTTTCCCTTCTAGGAGAATTATTGTTTTCTTTGAAGAGAATTCAGAAGAATTGTAACATCGGCAAAGATGGGGCTTTGGTCTTTAGAAATAATGAACTTGACGTAAGCTTGTTTTTGTTTTTTGAAATGAGGACGGCAATAGATGTACATTAATAATCACATCTTACGGAATCGAGGCAGGTTGGCATTTTGCCTTACACGAATTCACCGAGTGTCGTTCTTGATGTGTTTTGGCACATGGCTTTTACATTACAGAAATACTTATTTTGTTGCTATTACATTACAGATTCAAAAAGTTCACGGGATTTTCCACTGAATTTTTTCTACTTGAGCATGTTTGTAATGTTCATTGTCTTTACAAACACTTCGCAATTTTAGACTACCATCGGCTAGCACAACGGTTATACTAATGAGTATGTCGTGGCTTTGTCCGCTTGTTAGTATTTTCATGGTTCCCATACATGTTCCCGTTATCCTCTTTGGTAATCTAATATCTTCCTTGTTTCTTGACGCCCTGTAACATTTGTGTTACGACGCGGTAGAATCAGGCGCTTGTCAGCTTTAGGGGCATATGGAGTTATCCTTATAATCTTAATGCCTGTTTATTAGCTTTGATTTTGGCGGTAAAAATACTCATTTCTCTTGAATAGAAGTCGAGATATTTGTGATTGAAAGAGGTGGAGATCGTCAGGTATCAGAAGTAAGATTAACGAATAAATAGCCGCCAAAGTTTAGTGAACTTCAAAGCCTGAGAGTCCTGGAAAAATGCAAATTTACATTTCGCTGTACCTTTGATCAATGGTTTTCAGTAAAAATCCACACATTACTGTATTTTTTAATGGTCTTAAAGGGCCTTGAGCCAAACAAAAAAATGTCATTAGAAATTGTTCAACAGGCGTAATAATGTCGGTTCTTCGATTTCATTATTTTGACGAGCGTCTGATTTCGCCACGATGCCCACATGTTTATTGTTAAGATGTAGCATGCAAGACGTTTCACAAATTCTGAAGAGGTCCCACGATTATCCCATCTTGATCGGCTTCCTATACTCCAGGAGACTCTCGTAATGGCAGTTCTTCAAGAAGGCGAAGTAACCGTTGTAGTTGAGCTGACAACTGACCACATTGTTGCCGAAGTCACTCTCAGCCACCAACAAACTGGGGTTCACTTCCAGCTGTAGGAAGAAAAGGGGGATAAAAACATGGCGTTTAACAATTTATGTTGATTAGATGAGCCATTCCATGAAAAGTGATGCAACCAGTCTTAATTTTTAATTTTTGTTAGAGGAAAGGTGCCTGTAAAAAAATGAATAAATAGATAAATAGATAAACAGAAAAATAAATATTTCAGTAACTAGATAAATAGATAAATAAATAAACAGAATAGATAATAGATTATGAATGAATGAATGAATAAATAAATAAATAAATGAGACGGACAATTCTATGAAAAGTGAGAGCCATTCTCATCTATCATTTTCATTATTTAAAGGGAAGTATAAAATTTAATAAAGATATACAAGAAGGAGAGAAGTGGTTGTCATAAACAGGAGCGCGACGTGGACAGTGCCATTCTAATAATATTCTTAAAAAGCAAGGGGGAAGTTGGAAGTGGTCGTTTTTAACTGGTGATTGTCTTGGACAGGTGGTCGTTAGAGCAGGCAGATTCGACAGTACGAAGACTTGCAAAAGGCTTAGTCTTCCAGCCAGAAGCGTCCAAAACTCCAAGCATCCTTAATAAAATATTATAACCCGGCAGGCCGCTAGAGGGGCAGCTGTACCGTGTCTAATCTGCGTTATCTCCAAGTGGTTGTCACACAAACTACTCTATAGCTGAGCGAAGGCTTGATTAATCGGTCCTCATATTGAGTGTCATATGATAATGAATGACGACTGATAAAAGTGGCTCCTTCAAGCTACTGGTTAAGGACTTAGGGTGAATTGATCTCGTTGCTTCTGTCACAAAAAAGAAAGATGTGAAGAGGAGTACTAATTTTTTTTCTTTACAATTAACCTCTTTATTTCTGAGACATTTCCATCAACAATTGTACCCACGAAACTAAAAAGTTATTACAAGAGATATTTAAAAAAGGCTACAGTGCACCTACTTAACAGATAAACAACTGCACCGTCTTATTAACATCCCCATATATAGGGTGATCCAAAAAAATAGAAGACCCCCCCCCAAAAAAAAACAACCTGTACAACTTTTTTTTCTAAATATCTCGCACAAAATTTGTACTAGCATGTTGTAATTGGGAACAGATCAGATATAATTCATTCAAACCGAATTTTTGTTTGACATAAACTTCACAGAGAAGAATTTTCTTTTCGAAAACGGAAATTGCTTTTGTAAAAACTACCTATAAATGCAAAATGCACCAATTTAAAAGATCTTGTAAGGAAAGTCTTGAACTGATTTATTTGTTTTTCCTTTTACTTTTAAAATACAATCTTTCCATCCCTGTAACCTTTAAACAATATTTCTTTTCTCCTTCAGACTTAAAAAAATATTTTTTGGAATTCTGAGAGCCAATGTCCCCTTTGGTCTCGACACATTTTAACGCGTCGTTCGTAATGTTCAGTGGTGGCAAAACACAAGGATTCACTCAACCATGAGGACTCAAAGTTAAAGCTACACACACTGTACACCTTACAGTATGGAGCGGTGTCTAGAGACAATAGGGGGGGGTTTTGTTCGCTTTGATTCTGACCTGGAGGGAGTTCATCGCTTATCTTTGCCATTTTACGCGGTGTTTTAGGGGGGGGGGGGATGAGGTTGCCCAAATAGACAGCTTTGGTGAAGTTGATATAACCTGAAAGGTGGATATGAGATTTTCAAAGGAACCAAAGGTCTAGAGGAAATGTTCACGCTTTTCAAGAGCACATCGATATCCTCTGATAATTTCGCGACGGGAAAATGGTACAGTCGTAGGTGAAGATCTGCTTTGAGAATGCGAACCGTTTAAATGTAGGAACGTCATTGCTGCAGACATCGTCTACGGACAGACGTCTCATGGGGCTAATCTACTGAATTCTGCACCCTGGTGACGTTTAAAGGAGTGCAAACGGTGTGTGTATTTGACCTGAAGTGGTCGTTGTGTCTGGGAATTTTTAGTTCTGATTCTCCACATGTCCTAACTGACGGACCATTTCCACCCTTGACATCAAAGAAGACATTAGGAGCACTTTATCATTATTTCCGTACCTTGTGCGACACTTACGAAATGAATCGGTGGTAAGAAGTGTTTAATACAAAAAGCTCTCTGCTCCTTAATAAGTTAACTATGATCTCAGAAGGCAAAGGAAACTTGAGAAAAACTATCTGCAAACTTCTTTTGGCCAGTTAGACTGTAGTTTGCAATATGGCGCAATCGTTGGGATTTTTAGCGGTAGGCCTGATGCGAGCTAATGCGTCATGCTACTAAAAATGGGGACATAGCTGAAAATAGGCTGTTTTTTTACGCGCTTTGTGGAGCAAAACTTTTCTGTGGATTTATCTAAAACGAATGTCAGACAAATTTCTTTTGACTTCCAAATGTTGTGTACAAAGTTGAAACACAAAACTTCTGTGTGGAGGAAAATATTAACAAAAAAAGTTGTACAGTTTTTTTAAAATCACCATGTACTTCCCCTGTAAACCAGTCGACAAAATGACAGAGAATCAGTTTCATAAATAGGTTAAACAAAAAGTCATAAACGATTGCAAGAACTCACTAAAAAGGTGTAGTCGCCTGGCTTGATGTCTGTGATGTCGATCCACTGACAGTCGATATCGTACATGTAGTTGTCAGAACAGTTCACAGAAAGACCTTTATAAGATAAGATAAGATAAGATATGATAATATAAGACACGGTACATCTTTATTGTCCAGATCCCGACACATTGGTTTGGTGTTTCACCGCGTACACACTTACACACTCACACCCACACACACGCACCCACACACCCGCCCCCACCCTATCCCCCAACCCCCACACATACGCGCACGCACACACATAC